AAATATGTAGCACCAGAGTTCTGGGTGGTTTTGCTGAAGAAAACATCACTAGTGTCTTTTCTCTTTTGTCATGAAAAACAGCAATGTGGAGAGGATAGAGGAATGTTTCTTGTACAATAAAAAATCAAGGGGGCCATAAAATTGCTGGAAATGTCCATAAATATACTTAAGAAACTATCCAAACCCAGAATTCGGTCCAGCCCCATTTAGAACGGAGTGCATGGTGTGTTGTTTTTAAATCTATCTTCTCTTTCTCTGTATTTTATTTTTTTTTATTTATTTCTGTACTGTAAGCCGCCTGGAATCCTATGGGATTGGGCGGCATATAAATGTTATTAAACTTGCAAACTTAAACTAGTTACCTGAAGTGTTAAATTGGCCCATCTCTATTGCAGTGGTTAAGTGAAGCAAGAATAGACAGGGACATTATAGGACAGTGATAGATAACCTTTTTCTGATCACATGCTAAAAGTGGGGGAAGCATAGGGGGTCGCGCGTGGGCATGCCCATATTCATAATGCTATGTGCATGGCCCCTCCCTGACATTTTTGGCCTGTGATGGAATCATTTTTCCCTCTTCCCAGGCTCCGGAGGCTTTCAAGGAACCTGGGGAGAGCAAAAACAGCACCCCAGAGGCCCCCTGGAGGCTTCAGAAGGCTTCCCTGAAGCCTCCAGAGAGCAAAAAATGGCCCTACGGCAATCCAGAAGTGAAAAACAGCCAGAAAAGAAGACCAAAGTCAGCTAGCCAGCACGCACATACGTGCTGGAGGTGACAGGGCAACGCTTTGTGTGCCTAACAAATGGCTCCATGTGCCACCTGTGGCACACGTGCCATAGGTTCACTATCATGGTTATAGGATGATATGACTATCACAATGTTCTCCCTCAGAAGATCACCTCACAACTACTGCATGGCCTAGCATGTATCACAGAAATTGTTCTGCTGTGGGCCAGAAATGACCTGGACTGGGACACATCTCAGCAAAATTCACACCCAAGGCATGGAACTAAAAACTGATATCAGCACCTGTCAAAATTGGTGCAAGACAGCACAGGAAGGGAAGGAATAAGCACTAGTCTTAGTTTATCCTTCAGACCTAATTGCACATACAACAATTGATAAACTAATTTTGTGTTCACTGAAGGAGAATTAAATTAAAATGGCAATGCACTACAAGCCACATTCAAATTATGCTCAACCAGTAGAAGAAACACCAAGCACATTGTTAACTACCATGTTTCCCCAAAAATAAGACAGTGTCTTATTTTGTTTTGACCCCTGAAATATGTACTTGGGAAATATGTACTTACCTTATTTTTGGGAAGATCTTATTATCTTTGAGGTGCAGGTGGCGGTGAACGTGGTCATCTCATAGCTGCTGCTGTGTTGCAATATTTTTGGGGAGGGCTTATTTTAGTACATGCGCTCAAAAGCCCAATTGGGCTTATTATCTGGGGAAGTTTTATTTTTGGGAAACAGGGTAGTTATTCATTATACAAAACATTATTCTAAATTGAAAATTATTGACTTATTCTTCTCTAGAAATAGTGTCAGCAATATTTCCTAGTCCTTCTTATTCTTATGCAAATTCTCATTGCCCACAATGAAACATGAAACCAGATGAAGAGGTGGTATAAGGTGAAAGTTTGATGATTGTTTCTCTCTAACTTTGGGGAGGATATGTCTGAATTTTTAATAATTTTGCTATTTCAAAATCTATCCAGAAATAGTTTGCATATTGGAGGAAAACTTCAAAGAGAAGCACAGGAGACCAAAAGAGGATCAATTCTGTACATTGGTACCAAATTACTTGAAAATCCAACTACAAATCAATCTTTTGATTTGATTTGTTTTGATTTGATCTGATTTGACTTGAAGACATGCAGCCACTCATATTGTAACCACAAACCTGGGCAGCTCATAAAATAATATTGTCCTATAATTTAAAAAAAAAACATTTATATTGTACCAGTGAGGACAACAATAGTAAGTGGAGAGAATGGAGATTGTAGTCTAAGTATCAAATTATAAAAGGTTATAATAATTAAAAAGTATTCTCATTAGTAATCTGTTCTGAAATCAACTCTCCTACTGGAAATATACTTGTAGTTTCATCAAAAAATTTAAAATGTGTTACAACATTTTTTTTTGTGGGCTTTGTGATTTAAATAATTTTGTGGTTGTAGTATTTATTTTAGATATAGGTCTTAATAATATTTAATATTTATTTCATTTTAGATATAGGTCTTAATCTAAAATAGATCTATTTTACATATAGGTCTTAATATTTTTTAAATGTTATAAACCATTCTGATTAGTAAGTGTTTTAGGTGTGGTCTTAGTTGGTTTTAGTGCATTGTTGTGTTCACTTTGATGTATATTATTATTTTGCATTGTGCATAGTTATAAGCACTGAAAAACCTAGATTCAGCTCCGTCAAGGCACTCTGATTAATATCATTGATGAAGCTCCATGTTCTATGGAGTCTCATTCAGCTTTTTAGTGTTCCTGATTTTTGGCATATGTTTTCTCCAGAATTTGCCAGCTGAGCATCGGTGTTCTCATGGACAGGCGAGGGAAGTGGGACAAATGACAAAATGAGCTATCATAATGCTTGCATCATGACATCACAATATACTTAATTTTTTTTCATGGCTAGGATCAAATGCCAATACAGCTGAAGCTAATTCGTTAATTTATTTATTAAATGTGCAAGCTACCTGATCTTCAGCAAGTACGAGGGATTTTTTGTTCTGCCTCTCAAAGAGTGAATTTCAGACCACTTGGAATTCCGATATTTTTTGTTGAATGCGTATGACTGGCAGGCACTTATCATGTTCTAGGATGCTAGTAACCTATGTCACAGACCCATCTTGAATCCTAAATTTCTAAAGCAACATTTAAAAAAATATATATTTAGCTCTCCAACTTTTTCAGAGGTACATTCTTTGCATGTTTATTTCTTCATGGGAAGTTAACTCTCCTGAGGTCTTTTATTCCAAAATGCTTGGTCTCAGGATGTCCCTCATTTAGAAGCTTCCCGACCCTCATTTTAGAGTCCAGGAGTTGAAAGGTATGGTTTACCATAGCTGGTAAAGATACACACACATTTAAACACACCCGTAATTGCAGCTTCTAAAAATGGTACTGTGTCTTATGTGCTGTTGTTACAATGGTGCTTCTTTTTCCAACCAACGTGGCTCTTTGCGCTTTTGAACACTTATGGATCCTTGCCAATAACATTTTTTTTTGTTTTATTACTTTTAAAAAAAAAGAAGATGCCTAAAGAGTTTAAACAAAAAAGCTATAATGGGTCTAATAATAAATCATAAAAACGTATTCTTACATTTTTCTCTGTGGATTTTGAAATGCTTATTGTTGTTGTTACAAGAAATCTTTGCAACTTTCATTTAAATTTTGCAGAAGAAGTGATCAATAAAATAATGGAAAGGGTTGAAAAAACTGAATTTTTCAATATTTTAGTCACATATGTAATAATAAAATAATGGGCTGTGTCATGAGAAAACATTTTATTCTCAATTGGAAAAAACAAATTTAACTTTAAAGTACTTTAAAATGAGTTTATTCGTGTTAAATTCACATGCTGCAGTCTATCCTGACCATACATATTTTGACATACTGACAGGGTTAATCTATATAATACTGTTTAGAGAAACAAAACAGATATGTAGATACCACTCCATATGTACATAGCTGCAATATTTAGAGGCTAAAGAACAGAATATGATACAGAAATATTTCGGTACTGATATATTTTATTTATTTAAATGAAAGTTTCAATTGAGGTGACATTTATATACAATCTTTCCCAGATTTATGTATTACTGATTTCTATAAAATGTCCAGGACAATGTGTTGAAAATAAGGTGCAAAAGTTTCCGTTGCAATCAGTAATAAGTACAGATATCTGGACTCTGAGCTTTGTGTTCAGAGCAATTCATACATGCAGTTTCCATCAATAGGAATAAAGAAGAGGATAAGGAACTATTGGTGGGTCAAAGAACTCAATAGATATATTAGAATCCTTCAGCACAGAAGAAGCTGCTAAATCATAGGAATATCTCATCACGTTGCCCTTCTACTTTATTATTATTATTATTAATTTTGCAATCTCTCCCTATTTCTTTAGTATGTTCTCCAAGCAAGACAAACTGTAGTGGCACCTTTTAATCACTTTTTTTTTCACTGTCCTACATTTATATCTATTTTTAATTAAAAAAATTTAAAAAAACATTTATATCTATTTTTTAATTTAAATAATTAAATAAATTACTCCAACTGAGATGGAGATAGAAGGGGAGGAAGGAATGAAAAAAAAAACAATCATCCAAACTTAAGCAAATCTCAGCATAACTAAAATTAATGGATATTTCCCATGATCTCTAAAAGTTTGCTTTGTTCATATTTTAAAAAGAAAAGCTATTTAGAAAGAAATGCATGCTTTGCTCTATATCACCCTCTGGTGCCCCACCTTCACAGATGCTTTATTAGATCATGCAGAAGTTCCAAATTCCAGCGTACAGTTTTCTGTAACTGCGTTCCTTTGGATAGTCAATTTTTGAAACACACTTCTTCTGAATTTTTCTGTAGCTCCTATTTTGCCAAAGGAACTTGCCTTTCCTCAATACATACATCTTCCTTTCCCCCATGTATATTCCCTAAGTTCATACCCCTCCTAGTCCTCCCTCTTCTTGAAAAGTGCACTGCCAAATGAAAACTAGTTTGGAGGCGAACATGGTCCATTCTTTTGAGACTGGATAGAAAGGGGTTTGGCTTTGCTTCTCAACTTTTTGGGAGTGGGTGCATGTGCATGTGTGTGTGTGTGTGTGTGTCTGTGTGTGGTGTGCGTGTCTGAGGGCAGACTGCAGTTGCTGATTGGCTGAGAGGCTGGCCCAAAATCTCCCCCTCCAACACTAAGGAGTAAGCGAAGAAGGGATCCACCTCTAGGGCATTGGATCATATAAATAGGGAACCTAAAAACTTGACAGAGTCAGTAGGAAGTTTCTGCTGGGGTCTGGAGTGGAACTAGATAAAGCAGACCGTCCCTGTATGACTGGACACTAAAGCAGAACCTAGGATACAAAGAGTCTTCATGTCTAATATTTAGACATGTTCAGCTTTGTGGATTCCCGGTTACTGCTTTTGATAGCAGCAACTGTTCTACTCACCAAAGGCCAAGATGAAGAAGATGGTATGTACAGTGCTTTATTTTCTTTCACTCTCTGTATAAATTAAGTGGCAGCTTTTATCATATCCTGAGAGGGGAGTGCATTTTCTCTTATTCTTTAACTGTTTTGTGTTGAACATAAAGCTGCCTCCTTCTCTGCTCCCCTCGCAAATCATTTATAATCAGGAAACACAGCGCAAGAGTCAACCCTCCCTACAAAATAGGAGACCAAGCTTGGAGTGGCAAAGCATGAAGAGATGTTAACATTTCGTCATGCTTTGCTGCAACAGAAATTATTGCTATATGTGGTATAACTTGAAAGACAAATACATCTGGGCAAATAAAGTACACATGCTAATAAAATTCTGAGGCCGTTGTTATTGTTAAGAGGGAAAGATCAGTACATGTCCTTAACCTTCCAAAAGTTTTTAAGCTTGCCTTGAATGCAGGGAAAGGACTTTTGGAAGGCTGAAAAATAAAATTTTATTCCACCTGATTTTTTTAAAAATCCACAATAGTGCAGTATTTAACAGAGAACATGAACTTTTTGAAAAGTAAGCTTAAGCAGCTGTGGATAGCCTTCGGCATTGTGGGGTGTTTTTCCTGCCCCCCCTTTTTTCCCCTTGCCTTGGGGAAAAGCAACAAGTTGGACCAATTCAAAGCCTTGCGCTGTCTTGCCAAGTTTAGTAAATCAGATGTCAGGAGAGGGAAAGGGAGTGGGCTGTCATTGGGGAGGGACAGAAAGGGGTATACAGCAAATGATGGAAAAGTCATTGGAAAGTTGCTTATAAAACTAAGAGACAAAGATCATGAGCCAGAAGAAGTACAGAAAGTAAGCCTGTTCTAGTGACTTGCCGAAGAAGCCTGCAGAAGCCATCACAAACTTATTAAGTGGGTGGGTGATGGGGGGAAGCTTCATAATGATTCATAAGGAAAATGTTTCAGCAATCTATAAAGCACAAAAGTCTAGACATCATTTCACAGACAAAGCCTTTTGGACTGCGAATGTTTCAGAATGACTTACCCCCTCTAGTAAAAAATATCCAGTGGTGACATCTAGTGGCCATGAAGAAATTCTCTTTTGCTTTTGGCTACTGAGCCATTCCGAGGTAGCCTTCCAACTGGGTTGTGGGGGTGGCCTTGAAAGGGATCGACATCAATCAAAGTGAGACTCCTTCTGGAGTCAAGGATTAAATATGCCTTTTGAACACCACCCCTGCCCTCTTTGGAAGGAAAGAAAACTGACATGCCTTAGCAGAGAATTTTGATGACCTCTGATTTCAAACTGTGGATATTTTGCTGCCATCTTGTGGATAGTTTGCACTTTTATTGCAATGCTCAGGAAAATTTTATTTTCCTAAATCTCTAAGGATCTTTTTCTTTTCTTGCTTTTATTTTTAAAAAATATTCCCAGAAATTACTTATTTTCATCTTGTCATTTCCCATCCATTGGTGCAAAGAGAAAAATTTTTTTTTCTGGTTTGGGGAACCTTGAAACTATACACTCTTCTAAAAGGAAGTACTCAATTTTAAAAGCACCTGGCTAGGTATCAAGATTTATAATTATGGTATTCTTTACTTTTTTAAATGACATATATTAGAAAAATTCTTTATTTTGGTTTTCTCCTTTAATTGCTACTCTTGGCCTAGCTAGGTCTCCTTCATTTATCATGCAAAGAGTTAGCAAAATATTTCATCCATTGCACCTGCCTTGTGGAAATTGCCTTGCATTGGCTCACGCATGCCATGTCTCCTCCCCGAAATTCCTTGGATTCAATTTTCCGAAAGCACAAACGGTTGATAAGAAACAATTTCTTCCCATTCATGAATCATCTTTCAATTCAGATGCCATTTTTGTTTCTCTTTCTTCTTCTTCCCAATCTCTTTCTTGTTCCAAAATATTAATTTATTTTTCCTTGCCTTGTGTTTGGTTTGGCTTCAGTGCCAAAATGCTGAGGTTACAAATTGGATGTAACAACTGGCTAGAAGTTTTGTTTAAATTCCAAAGCGACTGGAAAGAGTTACTGTGGAGAGAGCTAGTTTCCTGTGTCATAGAATTGTGCTTGATGAAAAGCAGATGAGGTTTAAAAAGCCCCACAGAGAATCAAGTCAGAACAGCGCAAGAAAAGAAAGCAAATGCTGATAAAAACACGCATGTGTTGTTAAAATGGCACTGTTCTTAAAATGTCTCCCATTTTCCTGCTCTTGCTAGCACTTGGCCCAATGAACAGTTGTTCACATCTGCATCTTGCTTCTTTTCCGTCTTCTTTTTTTTCTTCATCTTATCTTTATATTCTACAGTCGAACCTGGAAGCTGCACACACAATGGAAAAATCTACCAAGACAAATCACTTTGGAGGCCTAAAAAGTGTGTGTTGTGCCTGTGTGACTATGGTACCCTACAGTGTGATACCATTGTATGCTCAGATGTGTCAGACTGCCCCAATGCTGTAACCCCTCCAGGCGAATGTTGTCCAGTTTGTCCTGGATCCGGTATGAGCTACTGTTTATCTCCTTCCTGTCCACTCTATCATCCCATCCTAATTGTCCACTTCTTCTGACAGGCAGAACTGTCACTCATACATTCTCATATCCTCTGGTAGTTATCTATCATTAGTCCATTTTACACAAAACCATCCACCTTCACTTAAACTACTTAAATTCACTTTCACTTCCTTATTCACTTATTTAAAAAAAAGTCTAATTTTAAAACTAATCAGCCATGCCTATATTAAACATTTAACAATTATTTATTTATCCATCAATCCATTTGTCACCTCTATAGTCACTTAATACTGAGTTTTCATTCTAAATACTAATGGCAAATCATTGTTCTTACCCAGGCTGCTTTTTTTTCTGATCGCTTTCCATTTCAATCTAAACATTTGGGTTTAATATAAATATTTATGAAAATCATTTGCAGGCAGGGAGGAAACTGTCAAGGGAGATAATATCTATGGAGTTAGGCAAGATTTGAGTAAAGTTTGGAGAAGATGCTTTCAGGCTACAATATCAAAGCTTTATCGCATAGCAAAACAGCATAACATGGAAAGACAATTGGGTAGTACTGTATTTGTCTGAAATGTGTGCAATTTGAAATCTGCTTGGCATTAACAATCATACATGGCATTTTCTAATTAGGCCACTAATGACACGCGTGTCAATGTTCTATTATCTTCTGAAATTAACTGGATTCATCCAGCTGAAGACTGTGATAAGCATGTTTAACCCATAAATTCCATTGCATTAAAAAAAAAAACTCATGATAGGCAAGAGAAATTTAGAAGCTTATTAAAAACAATGAAGCTATTTGGATGGTCACAGTTTCTGGTTCTTAATGCTCTTTTACATTTTGCATTCAAGATTCTATTCCTGCTTACTCAGATGTCACCGGTGTAGAGGTAAATTATATTTTTGCAATCCAAAATTCAATTTTTTAGCTATGTCTTTTTTTATTTTTTTTATTCCTGTAGCAATATGAATAATCCCCCTTTTTTTTCTTTTATTTGGTAGGGTCCTAAAGGAGATCCAGGCCCAAGAGGAGAAAGGGTAAGAATACACATGTTTGGCTGATTGTAGTTCAAATTTAAAGATAAAAATATAAAAGCCATGTTCAAAAGTACAAAAATTTTTTTTTTTTGTAATATTGTGATTTTAATATGGGAGATTGATAATCTATCCTATAATTGCTCCTACACATTTGCTATAATTTTACAATTTGTATTACAAACACATGCTATTCTGCCCATAAATATTCAATGGCTACATTTGTTGCACCTCATCCAATGGGAAGCACACCCCAATTTCATTGGTTTGCTATAACTTTCCAAAATAACAGTAAGATAAAACAGCACCAAAATTAAAACTTACATTTCAGCTTTAATATTTAACTTAAAAAAAAAAAAAGATTCATGACCCCTTTATCAGGGATACACAATTCATACTTTAAAAAGTTTCCCATCCTAATTGTAGGTGTTTTTTTTTAAGGTTCATGGGGAACAAGTGTCCCCCCCCTCCCGCACCAATCCAAATTTTGCAGGGAATTTTCAACAAGTTCTAATCATGCCAATAAATGGGGACATACTTTCATAATAGTAATACCTGGCTTCTTGCTATATTTATTTTCAGGGACCTCCAGGCCCCGCTGGCAATGATGGCATCCCCGGACAACCTGGCCTCCCTGGACCTCCAGGCCCCCCTGGTCCCTTTGGCCTTGGTGGAGTAAGCAACATTAATTTGGTTATTCCATCTAGTTACGTGGCATTTGTGTTTAAGTACCTGTTCACAAGTTCCTCCTTTCACTCTTTCCTTTTCTAGAACTATGCTCGTCAGATGTCTTTCGGTTATGATGAAAAATCTGTTGGCGGCCTAGCTGTTCCTGGCCCAATGGTAAGGGCTGGTGTCCTTGAGGCTGTGGAGAAAATGCTGGTTGAAGGGAAAGGATTGCTGAGGAGAAGGAAGAAGAAGAAGTAGTAGCAAAACACTGAACTCTAATAATAGATATATACTTTAAGTTATATGATGTAAACAAGCCAACTCTTCTTGGTTCAATAATGATTAAGACCAGAAGGTGAATCTGTGGGGATATAAGCACAAGCATCATCACAAGTGTTCAGTGAAAAAGGAAAGGTTCACTTTTGTGTGGTTTGTATTGTAGGGAAAAAGTACTGCAGAAAAGCAGTGGAGTTAGACAGGAAATTCAAGGCATGGGTATTCACTCATTTAATTAAGGCCCATAATGATAGCCTGTGTGATTTAGAATAAAACTTTATACAACTAGCAGAGGCACTTTTGTTACAAAAAGCAGGACATTGAAATCAGTGGAGTTTAAGACCATAATGTTACTATGGCTTCTTAAAGATTATAATTACATTGTCTTCTTAATTGAATGGAGAATTGCAAGTTAAGGACAATAACTTGAATTTGAGCTGTGATTATTATAGCTAAAAAAAATTGTAATAAAAAGTAATTGAAATATGGCTTAAATCCATCCTTTAATACAGTTTTAGGGGAAGCAGAAATGTACAACCTACGTTTTGCTTCTGGAAAGAATAAAGCAATATTCAGATGTTTCACTCAAGAGGGAATGGCCATTTTGCCTTATGCTTCACCTTAAGAAAAAAAAATAATGGCAACTCACCCATCACTAGAGGGATTGCAAATTACATGTAACTGTTAACGTAGCAATTATAAAATGCATTTTGAAAATCAATGTAGAAATTAAAGTTGGGCCCTGAGATATGAAAAGACTGAAGAAAGTTCACCTTGAAAATGATACACAACGCCAGACTTCCTCAACAAAACAGTTCTCCAATGTATGGTTAATGAAAGTTTCAAAATGATCAAACAAGATCAAGGCAATATGATTATATAGATTCAAGGATATAGATACCCACTGAGATGAAGGAGAAATTGTACCAATTCAGTTTAAGCTGACTATTTATTTCTTGGCAATGTTTAGGGTCCAGCTGGTCCTCGTGGTCTTCCCGGACCCCCTGGCGCTCCTGTAAGTATTTTCTCTCTTCTTAAGAATGAACTTTATATAAGAAAGATAATGTAAATTTGGTACTACTTTCAAGGGGAAACATTTCAAAATCTTTATTCCTCCCTCAATTTTAAAGAGCAGAGACTTTGTAAAAGTGAGGATTATCATGTTGCAGACAACAAGAATTTTATGCTTTGCTCAGTTATTAATGAATATCAGCCACACTTATTCAAAAAAATAGTACAAAGATGCTTAAATTGTGCAGAATCCCACATTGAACTGGAGGGGGCTTTTTTAGTGCAAAGGTGTTAATAGCAATTTTTTGGGGAAGGCCTACTATTATTTACAAACTTTGCAGACAACTCAGAAAGTTGAAAACAAGGGAAGGAAGACAAGTTACTTGCATTTCCATCTATGATATTGGAGATGCCACCTTCCTTTTAAAATTTTAAACTTGGGAACGCACAATATGCATTCATTCAGAGAAACAAACTAGAACCATCATTTGCTTTGCAAAACTTGCTTATTGTAGATAAATAAACAAACAAGACTTTCTTAAACCCATTCCTTCTACACTAAGCCTAACCCTAATATAATAGAGGATGTAATTCCTCTTTCATCTGCTCTGTATTTCCTCACAGACATCATATTTTGCTTCTTTTTATTTGCTGCACAATCAGTCATTCAGCCTCAGTGATCTTTGGGTCAACATATCCAGAGATTTGCAGTCTATACTAGAATAATGAAAATGGAGCGTAGAGAAACCCAGTAAATTAACTGTGTGGGGAAACAGTCAGCTTCACTGATGAAAGCAATTGTTTCAGGCCAGGCAAACTGCAGGGCTAAAAGATGTGAAGGCAGGAGTCAGCCATGGAAATGAAAGACCCATGGCAGAAAGTGTCTAGGGAGATTTCTCTGTCATTCAGGTCATGGTTGTCCCAAAGGTGTTTTTCAAAATGCAGCTGGACTTTGTCTCTTTCCTTGAAGATTATTTTGCTTCTCATCCAAGAAGCTAAAGGAAAAAAAACAAAGAAAGTCCAGTTGCCTTTTCAAAAAGTATATTTGGGACATGGCAGAAAATAATGCAGCCCAAAACAAATAGGGGTGTTCTCTGGAATTGCTTTCTTTTTAACATATATGTCCCTGTTTTAAATTTTCAGGGCCCCCAAGGTTTCCAAGGTCCCCCTGGCGAGCCTGGCGAGCCTGGTTCTTCTGTAAGTATTGCTTGATGGTGGGGGGTGCCTTTTGGGGGTGGTGGTGGTGGAGGGAGGGAGCTATATTATGATTACAGCCAGCCAGAACAGTCTTTTCCCCTCCCTCCCAGTTATCTTTTTTAAAATTTATTTTTCATTACCTAGAATAGTTTTTGAACGCAAACACGCTGTAGACAGGCTTCTGTTCCAGTCTTAGATATAAGCAAGATGTAGGAGCACAGATATATTTGTTCAGATTTTAATGCCTTTGTTTTTTCCTCCCCAATAAATTATCTAGGGTCCAATGGGTCCTCGTGGTCCAGCCGGTCCCCCTGGCAAGAATGGAGATGATGTAAGTGAACTATATCATTCTTAGAGGGGGAGGAACCCCCAGTTTTTCCTCTAATTATCCACAGATAGAATACACACCTTGCAAGCAAATCTGACAAACAAAAAGGCTTCTCTGAATCCACAAGTTTGAGGGAACTGGTTCACGATGTATCAGCTTTGTCTTGTCTTCTGAAACATGCGAGCCTAGCAGTAGAAACAATAGCAAAAGTGGTGCAAAAATGGAGGGTGGTGCTTCTCTTCTTGGAAAATTTCTCTTGTTCTCTTTGGTCTTCCTATTATAGACTGCAGTGAATGGCAGATCTCCAAAAGATAACTATTAATTTTACTACAACCTTGATCTTGCCATAAATCTTATATTTTTAAAAAATACACTATTAAACCATCCAAGGGGCAGTTTAAGGCCCCTAATTCCTCAACCGGTATTTGTAGAGTTCAGGTAACAAGGTAGACCTTCTTAATTATTGCACACCCTTTTTTCTTCTAACATTCTGCTTACATTATCAAGATCAGAGTTCTCAGGTTTCAGGCCATAACTTTTGATTGGCTTCTGAAAATCGTAAAGATCTCTTTTGCTGATGAGAGAATGTAGGGTCCCTTTTCCCCCAAAAAAACACCCCTCTCTGATTTCTGAATTATTACTGTTTTAGCTTAGTTGGTTTTTTTCTGCCTTCTTTCTCCAAGGGTGAAGCTGGAAAACCTGGCCGTCCTGGTGAGCGTGGTCCTCCTGGCCCTCAGGTAAGGTGTCTTGTCCATATATGTAGGAGGGAATGATGGGTTAGTTAGCCAGCAATTGTTTTGTTATGATGAATCATGCATTGTCCATCTGCTCAAACACAAATTTATTTTTGATCATAAGAAGGGTAATTCAAAGCTTTAACAGTAAGATGGTTGTGAAAATATTAGAATCTCACATATTGGACAATTGGAAGATTGGGTTAGAGAGAATAAGCTCAAGTACTGAAATGGCTTTGTTTGATTTCTAAATAAGAAATTAAAAAAAACACCTTTTTTTTCAGTTCATCGTCATAGATAAGTGTAGTGGTGGGAGGATAGTCATGAAATGGGGACCTGGCGAAGGCCACATGCTGAAAAGTGATTTGTCATAATTCTTTTATTCTCAAGAATGTCTGGCTTATTTCTTCCAGGGTGCCCGTGGCCTTCCCGGAACTGCTGGCCTCCCAGGCATGAAGGGACACAGAGTAAGCACACTTCAATCATTCAACATCCAACGCAATTCACAAATTCTACAATTCAAAGTCTGCCAAAGCTAGATTACAACTTAGATTGTGTATGCATGTCTTCTGAAGATTTTTTAGGAATTGGACTTTTCAAAATGTTAATAGTGTTTGTAGGCATTGTCAGAAAGTGTTCACTCCATAATTCCTGGCATTCAATATGGCCACAAATATAGACCACACAGTCAAGTGGACCTAGTAATATTTTACAACTTCATAATTTCCTATGTCCCTTATTTTAAAAGGTATATGAAACACAAGTCGACTAGTCCTTTAAATATATTCTTTGGGGGGGAAAACATCTAGCTAGTTTCTAAAAATTGGATATTGTGTATCTTTGGGATTCCTATCCATCCTGGGGCTCACAATACTCAAAGTCATTTAGCATTTTGCTCCTGTAACTCATTTAAATAATATTTCTAATGTAATATAAATAGGTATTGACTTAAGACCACAATTGAGCCTAAACTATTTATTAAGTGAATTTTGCCCTATTTTATGACCGTTCTTTCCGCCACTGTTAACACTGCAGTTGTTAAGTTAATAACACAGTTGCTAAGTGAATCTGGCTTCCCCATTAACTTTGTTTCTCAGAAGATTGCAAAAGCTGATCACATATCCTTTGGAACCCTGCAATTGTCATAAATATGAGTCAGTTGCCAAGCGGCTGAATTTTGATCATGTGACCCCAGGGATACCACAAAGATCATAAGTGCAAAAAACAGTCATAAGTCACAAGTGCTGTTGTAACTTTGAACATTTTGATTTGTTTTCCAATGTCTCTGTTCTTCACACTTCTTATTATACACTTAATAATAAATACATATTACCCCTATCTTCTTTAGGGATTCAGTGGTCTTGATGGTGCTAAAGGTGATGCTGGACCTGCAGGCCCCAAGGTAAGTGTCCATTTTAAGTACATCCCTTTATTTGATACAAAATTCCACCTCCGTTCACTTTAACAACTTGTGTTGTCATTTCTTCTTTTCCTTCCTTCTAGGGTGAGCCTGGCAGCCCTGGTGAAAACGGTGCTCCCGGACAAGTAGTAAGTATATATTTTCACCCTTCTTTGATCCATTGCTCTAAGAAATATAGGCTATGTACCAATGGAGTCATTTAGATGGACAATAGAATTGTTTAAATTGTACCATCAATGAAAGCAACTTATTTTGCCATGGAGGGGAAAAAAAATCTAATTGCATCATAGTACTTTGATGCAATGCATATTGTACAAAATTGGCTGCCTGGAGCAAAATCTATAAGAAATAGCAAGAATATCTGTTGAAAGCTCAGAAAAGGGATGACCTATTGTAACACTGTAAAGAGGAAGGAAGATGGTCTTTACAGAGATGTCCAGGAATTGTTACCTAAGCAAAAGGATCTGAAATGTTTTTTAAGTCCAGTTCAGAGGGATAACATTCAGAAGTGACTCGGGTAGATGCCTTCCTAATCCACTGGGGTATAAGAAGGAGGAGAGGGGTAGCATAACCAAACTTGTGAGATTCAAAGTGCATGCCATCTCTGTGAAAGTAATTTTAGCCTTCATGTGGAGTTGATATCCTGGTTTGGCCTATCTGGTGGTGTTGACCCTCAGACAGAGAAGACAATAGTGGAATAGAAAGTAAAATGAGAATTATGGGACTACCTTATCTAAAAATGTCCAGTATGGACTTCCTTTTGCATTCTGGCCAAAGGTACCAAATAAGATAAGATAATCTACTTCCACATTACTGTTAATAGAAGGCAAACCCAAAAGAGTATGCAAAAGTCCTTTCTAGATCCAACCTTAAATGAGCCTCCTATATAAAGGAAAAACACTTGATATTAAGAATAACAGGGACTGTATCAAATGGAAAGAATGCTAAATTCATAATAGAACTGGGTGTTAGTAGTACTTGAATAGGGCAAATTTTAATAGAGTCTATGGTGACATTTCATTTGCTTTTAAATATATTTATAAGTATATTTATATATTTATAATCCATACCAACAGGAAAACATAATAAGGAAAAAGGACCGCATCATATATCTGGGAAGAGAGAGGTCTTAAAATTAGTGTTAAGTCCTAGATATAAGACAGTATAATTCCTATAGCTTTCTACAACCCCTATGGCTTTCCAGTAAATGAGTAAACTTCTAAAACTTACTTAAGATGTGACAACTTTTAGAAGAATATGGTATATTGGTATTTCTCAATCTTAGTAACCTTAAGATGAGTGGACTTCAACTCCCAGAATTCCCCAGCTAGTCACACTAGCTGGGGAATTCTGGGAATTGGAGTCCATGCATCTTAAAGTTCCTGAGATTGAGAAACAGGATGATTTTGGAAGAGTATGATAAATACTAAATATAATTAAAAATCAATGGAAAGGATAAAGATATAAGAATGAGATCCAGTCAAAGTACCTTTTAACTGATTCCCCTCCCCACTCTGTTTCTTCTAATTAGGGCCCACGTGGTCTTCCTGGTGAGAGAGGACGTCCAGGCCCTGCTGGCTCAGCTGTAAGTGCATTCCTCTCGACTTTTAAATTGCTACGTATTCATAGCGTTTTATGGACTCAATTCAAGTATTCTCTTTCATATCTTATGTGATTTTGTAGGTCATTCAAATGCCCTTTCTCCTCTTTTGCATTACAGGGTGCTCGTGGTAACGATGGTGCTGCTGGAGCTGCTGGTCCCACAGTAAGTGTCCCTCTCATTTGCTTCTCTTGGAAAGTCTTCATATTGCATGAGAATCCTTTTCTTTAGAGAAGGGATGAAGATTAGTCTTCATCTAGAAGATGAAGACTAATCTTCCAAGCCTTCTGCCCTTAAATGAGGACATCCTTTTCTCTCTAGTTTGCCTTGAGTCAGTTTTTCTTTTTTCCCTTATTTCAAAGGCCAGAGTTAATGCAGATCTGGCAGTATTAAGAACTATTAATTAGGGACAGTATGAAAAAGCTCTATAATCAACCTTTAATCTCTTCTCTTTTTTTTAATAGGGTCCCACTGGCCCAGCTGGTCCCCCTGGATTCCCTGGTCCTGCTGGTCCTAAGGTAAAGATGATGATTATTATTGAATTTATCTGTTGTCCATCTCACTGTTTCACAGTGACTCTAACTGGCCTTGAATGACCAACTTGCCATTGCAATGTATTTGTGTTACGAAAGCATTAACATTGTTCAATTTGGCTGCTGATATTTTTAAATTAGATTGGGGATAGTTGTCTCTCAGGTTTCTTTACAGAGGAAGGCATCAATCTTTACCTTACTGTTTCTTAGCAAGGGGGCAACAAAGCATTCCCTGGAGGATAAATGCATGGGCAGAAATGATATGCCTGAACTTGGAAAAGTTCCTGCTTTAAGCTCTCTCCATTCTAGTTTGCTAAAAAATACTGAGAAGCCTCAATAATTCCTTGTTTAGGGATCAGGAAGGATGACCAATATAATATAAGCCCAGGTTTAGATACAGAAAAGGGATTGCTGGACTAAGAAAATATAAAGTTTAGGGACCAGAGCTGGGAAGCTGGCATTATTATGGCTTATTTCAGTATTTGCCTTAAGAAGGAAACAACTGTATAAACTACTACATCAAGCTTTAGACATCAGTTGAATAATATAAAATTAAATCACAACTGAAAATAGCAATAATGTTCAACAATATAAGAATGAGGTTTACATTTTATATAGAGTCCTCCATTACATTGAACAGGCTTTGAAAGTCTGAAATGTGTGACTCAGGAGTACGACCTCATGATATCTGGGTGGGATTGGGAGGACCATGAAGTCTGATTAACTAGGATAGTGTTATATAATACAACCAATTAGGAGATAAATTGGTCTTGGAGAGACTAAGGAGATTGACCAGAGAGAAAGATGTGCATCAACCCAGGGAGGCCTGCACACTTATGAATCTTCACTCTCTTCTTGCACAGGGTGAAACTGGTCCTCAAGGTGCTCGTGGTGGTGAAGGCGCACAAGGTGCTCGTGGAGAGCCTGGTGCTGCTGGTCCTGCTGGCGCTGCTGGCCCTGCTGTAAGAATTACCAATTTCCCCCCCACCTCCCCTATACTTCTGATTTATTTAAAAATTATTCACTTCTTAATTTTAACAGCACTCTTAAATGCATATATTCACCTATTTTTGGGAGAGTGCTTCAAGGTTAATGGTGAAGGTTGAAGGTAGTTTATTACATGGTGTGCCCACACAGGAGACAGAAGATGCGACTTAAACAATCAGTGAACTAATATAGTAATAATTTTGTATTTTTTCCTCTGCTTTAGGGAAATCCTGGTTCTGATGGTCAACCTGGTGCCAAAGGTGCACCTGTAAGTATCTTCTAATCCCAATAACTCTCTTTATTCATGTCATTGTCTTCATTTGCCACTTCTCTCAACCTTTCCGCTTCCTCTTCTCTAGGGTGCTCCTGGTATTTCTGGTGCTCCTGGCTTCCCCGGTGCTCGTGGAGCAGCTGGCCCACAAGGTCCCACTGGTGCTCCCGGTCCCAAGGGTAATAGCGTAAGTGCCACCCAATTGCTCTAATCTTATCATCAACTGGTGTCACCTGACTATATTGAATTATATATTGGCCAATAAGGAGAATCTCATGCATGATAGTCCAGTCTTCTTAGAGACCACTAGGTTGGATCACATGGATTTCAGATGTGTCTGATTTTAAGGCTATTGTTCAGAGTAACATCTAGATCCATCAGGTGCCCATTCTGTGATAAATGGGCAGTAGAACAGCGTATTAACATAAATCTCAACCTCTTTAGCCACTAAAAGGGATAAAGGATCCATTCCACCATATCATTACTCAATCAGGATATACATTGCTTTCTGAATTTTTAAATGTGCAGCATTTCAGAATAAACTGATCTGTTGACCAGATGGGATAGTTATAAAAACATGGAATATGATGATATGGACATGTGGGCTTTTAAAGATAACCATTTCAAAATTATTGACTAAAGTTTTATTGCTCACAAATCCCACAGATTTCTTCTTCTCATAAGTTGCTTATATCAACTGAAGCATGTGGAAAAGTATCTTCACAGATCCCTAGTTCTCTTCCACACTACCAATTCTTTATAAACGTTTTCCAGCTGTTTTCCCTATATTGCATAATTAATAAGTACTTAAATAAATAATAGAATATTGCCTTATTCTGTAGCGAGATATAAAATAAGACAAATCTACTGTTGCAATTTTGTACTGAATGAGATATGTTACCGTATGCTTTTGTCTTTTCTTAATAACTTTAGGGTGAACCTGGTGCTCCTGGAAACAAAGGAGATGCTGGAGCTAAAGGCGAAGCTGTAAGTATTTCACCTAAATGATGTGTGCTTTTATTTCTCTTGTGCTTTTAGTTTACCTCTCCTGCAAAGTTATTTATATCCTTCACTTTATCTTCTAGGGTCCCGCTGGTGTTCAAGGCCCCTCTGGTCCACCTGGTGAGGAAGGCAAGAGAGGATCCCGTGGTGAGCCAGGACCTTCTGGATTGCCTGGACCTGCTGGCGAACGTGTATGTAACCATGTTTGTTGTTTGTTAGCCTTTGGATACCAAGATGCATTTAGAACAAACATGGGCAGAAAGATATATCTGCCTTACAGGTTCATAACATTTAGTTAGATTGGTGGAGAATTGCTAAGCTAAATTACAGATGTAATAGAAGCAGGCCAAGTGGGAAGACTAATTTTAATAAGTCAGAGGAATGTTCTCCCGGAGCCATCCATAAAACAAGGTGTGTTGTAACATTTCAAAATTAAAAATTAAAACTAAATTAAACTAAATTAAAATAGCGCACTGCTGTTTCCTCTGGTAATAAGTAAGGAAAGATTGAGCTTTCTGTTCTACCTGACAGTGGCTTTTTATAGCCTTTCCTTTATTTGCAAGGCATATGCGCTAATTTAAGGCAAGAGGCAAAATGTCAAATGGGTGCTTTTGACTCTGATCAGGAAACTGAATTATAATTCTTGAGAAAAGGATATCATCCTGAATCTGAAGTTGGCATTTAGTTCTGGCTTTTAGCTTTTCATTCTTTCTAGCAGAATGTTGTGACTGTCTTTTTCCAGTCACAGAAAAACAAATGGCTTCATATTGGCATTTTGAGAGGACAGGCCTCTTTGTAGGTTACTTGGTAACAATACTGGTTTTTTAAATCAATAAGCAATAATAATATTCTTAATCCTGTGTCACAGGGTGCTCCTGGAAGCCGTGGTTTCCCTGGTGCTGATGGCATTGCTGGTCCCAAGGTGGGTTGTGTGTCTTGTGGGTAATATATGGCTAAATAGTCTCTTGATTTCCTATGGGCTATCCACAGGAGACTCATATTTTTATCTATCTATCTATCTATCTATCTATCTATCTATCTATCTATCTATCTATCTATCTATCTATCTATCATCTATCTTTCTTAATGTCTGCATATTCTTCTATGTCTAGAGCTGACTTCTGATTATCAAAATACAACCTTTGATTATTTTTGACCTGCCTTCCAAATGTTTTATAGGCTAGCAAAAGAGGAGTCACGTCTAAAACAATATTCTTTTTTAGAAGTACCAATATATCCACAGTTGTTCCTGCTCCCTGTTACTCTCATTATTGAGGCAATTTGCTCAAGATCATGTTCAGTGGCATACAGAAACTCAGACATCTAGGGTTCTTATTGCCTAGGAAACAGGGTGGGTGGGGATGGGATGAAATTCTTCCTTGCCATGTCCTTTTTATAGCCTTTCAATTTTGTATGAAGGAGTAGAATAGTGCTGTGAGGATTTATAAGAGCTAAGAGAGCTGGCTAGTTTCCCCCCCCCCCCCCCGAATTACAGGGTCATCCATCTCACAAAGGAGTGACTCTGGGTGGCATGGAAGAAGATGGTAAAAAGTTAATATATATAAAGGCCAATTATTTTTTTTAATGTTTAGAATAAAAAACACAAGGCTAAGAGAGAACATCTGATGCTAATAACAAAGGAGTCACTTTAGTATCTCACCCATTCCCTCAGGCCCCCAGATCTGATGGCATAATCAGGTTTTGGGGGAATTCAGTAGGGATGTGGCCAACCTCACTTAACAAAACGTAGGAAACTTTATTCCTATGAATGATATTAAAGCCTGTTTTGCAAATATTCATGGTCCTTGTATTTAGTAGGACTACTAGCACCTGCTTTCACACCTAGTTCTTCCCTAATAATCCTGGACAGTCTGATATCTCTCTGGGCACCAGAGAACATTGTAAATAAGATCCCTATTCTCCCATACATTTGTGCTTTTTTTCTAATATACAGATCTTGCCTGGAAGGGAGTTTCAATCTCTCTTTTCATTTCTTTCATGCTTTCTTCTCCCTGACCATATTGCTTTCTTCTGTCTCATGTTTTGTCCCTCGCTCACATTAGAATTCCCTAAATACATGTCAGGTGGGGGACTTCAAACATATGGATGTTTATTTGCCAAAACTACAGGCTCCTCAAGTTGTGGAGCTTTGGACTTTGGGTATAGTCTTGAGGTCTCTCAGAGCCTGTTTTCATGAATATGTATAATGTCTGCAGCCAAAGCCACCCATTGTCACACCAGACATATCCTTTCCTTCTTAGATACACTCTTCATAGTCTTGATCACACAGAGGCCTCCTAAACTGAGGAGAAATGAAAAGCTAGGATTTACCTGCTCTTAGTAGCTTTTCTTGATGCCTTTTCTTCTTCCAGGGCCCCCCTGGTGAACGTGGAGCTCCTGGCCCTGCTGGACCTAAAGGATCTACTGGTGAAGCTGGACGGACTGGTGAGCCTGGTCTTCCTGGAGCCAAGGTAAGCGAATAGCAAGCTTTGGTCAGAAGAGGGAAGCAAATGGGAAATATTCTCATACTTCCCATTGGCTCCTAGACAGTGGGGAATGGGGCACATTCTACCATCCCTGCCCAGCCCTGTGCAGCATTGAAGGTCTACAACAGCGAATTAAACACTGTCATAAAGAGTAATCAAGGATCTTACCGTATGCAAAGTAATCCACTTCCCCCAACTAAGTGAATTAGTGGCACTCACTCGTATCTCATTTCACTCATAGGATAACAAAGCAGAGAATAAATAGGAATGGGTTAAAAGGAATTAAGTTCCTTGCAGTGATTTTATTGCTCTATTTTAGTTACGTTTCTGAGCATATGTGAACTGGAGCAAATATTTTCACTCATCACAATGAAGGCAATGCTAATCCAGAAATATTGGTTCAGTTTGGATTGGTGTTTGCTATAATCATGATTGCACTGGCCATTTAGCATTATGATATGAAATGTATTTTTTCAGGTGAGACTTTGATGGTTTGGGGGATGGGGAGGAAAATCAAGTCTGTAAAATAATTAGCCATGAAACAGCAGTGAAAGGACTAAAATGTCATTTTTAAAAACCCTTTTCATAATCTAATTTTTCCCCAAGAGACATAAACTAATGTAGAAAAGATAATGGAATCAAATATATCAGTTGCAAACTGAAATTATATTTAGAAACCAGATTCAGTTGTTTTTACCAATGGTTTATATTAGGCTCTTAAATTCTGCTATAGTTAATGAATTGCTTCCCAGCTCTTTCTTTGGGACAAAATTGTCACTGCAATTTCTTTCTATTGTGTGTTGTCCCCATTTCACTGGAAAATATTTTAGGATATTATTACTACCATCATCCCCCTTTAGGATACCCATGTCTTAATCAATTGAGTATATGTATTAATCCATTCAAACTAACATAAATCCTTAAAGCAACAAACAATTAGTGTTAAAAATACTAAGATTTCCACTTGGTGGTTTTTTTTTTAATGTCTCTTCATCCTTGATCAAAACATTGCTCATTTGGATGACTGTGGATTAAATTCAAAAGCCTGCGCACTTGAAGGTGCTTGAAAGGAAGCAAAAGACAAACATGGTCAAAACACAATTAAACAGAATTGTGCAATTGTGCTGCAGAAGAAACCCTTAAAGTACAAGGCATATTTCTTCCACAGAAGAAATGCCCAATCGGGAATTCTTACAAAATACAGTTTATATGTTCAGGTGTTTTAAAACAGAAAACAGGGGTTTTATTGCCTTGAAGCTTACGAGGTCTAGTCCAACCTGTGTAATATAAGAGTTAAAGCTCATGATCTTTATAGGAGCTTCTGTAGCATAAAAATTAGAACTCTGCAGCGTCATACATTGTAGAGGCAAAAGTAAGATAGGTATAGTTTCCCCATCTGTCAGGCCTCAAAACTCCCCAAACACATGACAATTCTTCCAAGCTGATTTCTCCATTGCTTCGCTCCTATAGACTAAACCTTAACCAAACTGAAAATCCTACTATTTGCATCTATAATACCCTTTGTGAACTATTAGGGAGGACCTGTCTTCACCCTCTTTCTTTCACACATGATATTTGGGCGGAGTTAAGTCTTGTTCCTCTGGAAGGCAGCCCCTCCCCCTTAGGGATCCATCTCTTCATTACATCCCATCACACCATCTTCCCCATTCACACATGTTCTCCCTTTTGTTTTCTTCTCTAGGGTCTGACTGGTAGCCCTGGTAGTCCTGGTGCTGATGGCAAGACTGGACCTGCTGTAAGTGTTGAGAGAACTTACTGGGATCGCCCCTATATTTTGTAATAGAACATTTTTTTAAAAAAAAAAATGGGCTTATTGTTTCCTTTCACTTATAGGGCCCCGCTGGTCAAGATGGTCGCCCTGGACCTGCAGGTCCACCTGGTGCAAGAGGTCAAGCTGGTGTGATGGGATTCCCTGGACCTAAAGGCTCTGCTGTAAGTAACACTCCGCATTTACTTCCTGAATGACATGTTCTATGGGTGAGATACAAGGATGACGCCTACTTCTCTTCCACAAATGACCACCTTATTTAGCACTCAACCCATGAAAAAACTATGACACCAGAACAGCTGCTTTTAATTCTTCTTCAAGGAGCAAAAGAATATCTGAAATAAGGGCAGCAGGTGGCTGCTTTATATTAAAGCTCCCCCTATTTGTACCTCTAACTTCCTGATTCATTCAATATGAATATTTTACAGATGGTTACTATGAGAGTCAATTTCATTTCAAAACTGATTTCGTGAATAATCCACATGTATATGCTACATTGACACTATTGAACCACTATTGATTATGTGTCATCAGGTCATCCACAATTATTAGTGATCACATAGAAGGATTTTCTTCATGATCTTCCTGTCATTATCAGAACCTCCTATTTAATCCATTTTCTGAGAGGCCTTCATGGTTGTTGTTTTTAATGATTACAACTTTATATTCAGCAACCAACTAACTGAAATATAAATAGATTTATGGAGAGCAGAAGCATTAACTGCACTTGAATGCACTTGAAATAGATTGTTTCAAGGGGCATTTGGCTTTGGTTGGTTGTGAAAATCACTCTAGACTGTGAATTGGAGAGAGGAAATTGTTGGTAAAATGGGTTGTTTTTTCCAAATGAAAATGGAATACTAGAGATACTGAGATTTTCTACATAATAAAATAGGCTGCTTGGGTCAGTCCTTTTAGGTAATCCAGAGAAGTAACACATCTAGAACTACTTGTTCTATCTTTACTGTAAGGTTACAGTAATGGAATTTTGCAGGTTCCCCCCCCCCTCACCTTAATAGACCAAGAAACTACAGAAGGTCCCTTCTGAGGGACCTTCTGAGAGCCGAGGTGGCGCAGTGGTTAAATGCAGCACTGCAGGCTACT